GCTTCAGGTCAGGGTTTCTTGTGGAGCATTTGGAAATACACATGGGTGCTTTGTGCAGGGAGCTGATAAAAGAGAGGTGGGGAGGATGCAGTAATCAGTATTTAGAAAAATTCCTCAGCTGGATCTGGTGTGTCCTCATGCCTTCCAATGGGGTCATAATCTAGTCTTTTCCATTGCTAGTAACAAAAATATCCAAATCTGGTCATTTATAAGCATAGAGGTTTATTCAGCTCATGGTTTAGAGGCCAAAGGCCCAGGGTCTGCATCACCAAGGGTCTTCCTGCTGGTGATGACATGGCGGAGGTCGGGAGCTTGAGCAGTGTGTGTCTGGGTCCATGTCTCTGTCTCATTCCTTCCATAATAAACCCTTCTGGATTCAATCATGGGTCTCTACCCTGATGCTGCATCACTTCCCATAGACCTCACATTTTTTTTTTTTTTTTTTAGAGAGGGGGGTTTTTTGTTTTGTTTTGTTTTGCCTTAGGGTGCTTGCACTTGCCAGACAGACAGAGAGAGAGAAACAGTCAGAAAGTGAGAAATCACCCCCAGCATGGCAGGAGGTAGGGTCACACCTCAATCCCTTTTCCACTCTCCTTTTGGGATTTTGGGCATGCACACACACATGCCCGGCTTGAGTTTTAAGCCTCTGGGTTCAGGATTCGAACTATGTGGAGTCTGGCAATGTAACCATTATGCCATCCACTGGTCCTGAGACCGCACCTTTAACACTGTCATCAGATTAAGTCTTCACCCACTGAACACGATGAGTTCACCCAATTTTGACACCTGAAGTTGGGGGGAGGGGGACACATTCAGAACCTCAACAAATGTGATCTCCGTAGGAACTGGCCCTGGAAGTATTTCTGGAAATCAATCTTTGGGTGTATGATTGTTTTCAATTGAATCCAGAAGTCTGCCATCAAGACATTGTCAGTGCTGTGCACCTCTGGAGGGTCTAGAGAAGAAACTGTTCTCTTGACTCTTCCAACTTCCGTAGGTGTCAGCCTTCCTGGGTTTATGTCTTATTACTGCAATCTCTGTGTTTCTATTCATGTCGCTCTTCTTTCTTAAGTCTCTTCTGTCTTTCTTTTAAATTTTTGATTTCATTTAGGGCCCACCCAGGCAACCTCTCTATCTCAAGTTCTTTAGCTTATTCACATCCTTAGGGTTCTTGCTGTATAAGGTTTAAGATTAGGACCCCTTCTGAAGACCCATTGTTCAGCTGTCCCTGGTGGGTTGTTGCCTACTGCACATGGGCTGCCGGGCCATAAAGGGCAATTTGGTACCTTGTCCACTTATCCCCTCTCCAGCTGCCTGTTTGTGGCCACAGGGAAATGGACAGCTGCCCATGACAGTGTTTACCCACAGACCCTGCTCTCTTGGGACTGAGCCAGGTAACCCCGCACATGAACTCTGGCCTACACCTCCAATTTCAGCCATTCACAGGGCAAATGCCTTTGGTCATAAGTGGCCTGAGAGTGTGGGTCAGTGCTGCAAACCCACCATCCTCCCTGACAAAGCACCTCAAGCTTGTGTCCCAGCAGCAGTGGCTCCTGTATACAAGTCCTCTTCCAATAATAAACTGTGACAGGAACCAACATGTGAATCTGTTCTAGAGACGGCACAGGCTGTGTTGCCTTTGCCCAGGGGTCTTGAGTTAGGCCAGCAGATACAGTGCAGTCAGGTTTGTTCTTAGGAGAGGATGTAGTTCGTTGATAGTAAATGTGAAGAGAAATGTCATTTCTGAGCCAAAGTTGGTGAAAAAGCAACTGCAGGACCTTGAGAGAAGTCAGTTGGCATTGTGCTTCATTTTCCTCGTCTCCATAAGGACGTCTTTGCTTTATGATCCGCAAGGTCCCTTTCAGCTGAGAACAAACAAATCATCTGTTTTCTTCTTTCTTCCCCTTTCATCAGAAAGGAGAAAAGAAAAGGTGCTAATGCGAGTAGGTTTAAGAGAAGGGGAGAAATGGAGGCTCACGAAGGAAGGCTCTGCTGGAATTTGAGGTGCTGAACTGTTGAGTGGTGTTTGTGCTATCGCTTAATTTTCTCTAGTGGTGCTGAACTAGGAGCCTGTGAATTGGGAGGCTGTGAAGTTCAGGAGGCTAGGCTAGTGCTACCCCCTCACTGATAGAGGCCCCAGCCTACTGACTTCAGGGACGGACCCAGTCGTAACACCTCAACTGTTAGCCACAGGACTAACCTGCAGTGCAGAGACCTAACTCACACCAATGGGAAGCCTTACCTGGGACTTCTACTGCAGTTGGGAGAGAGAACTGCTTATTTTCTCTTGCTGAGAGACACAAGGGCATGAAAAGGTGTTGGATTTTGTGGACATGCTTCTTGTGTAATTGAGAAATCAAAGCCTGGAGATGACTAGGATAGAAAGAGAGGAGAGAGCACTGAGAGGAGAAGGGGAGAACTTGAAATACCTGTATCCCTGAGGCCAGCGCCTTCCATACCTTCCTATGATCGTGCTGCATAAGCTGTTGGATCATCGGAAAAGTCATGACGCATTTTTTGCATACAAAAACATAGAAAAATACATCATGACTTTTACAATGACCCAATTTAAGGTCACCCTTATTCTTAAGAGAGTTATAGTGTAGGTATGTAACATTTGAAACTACAAGAAATCATAACTGATACATGGGAGATCAGTGTGGAAAAGTCAAAATACAATTGGTCCAGAGATTGTATTTCTTTGGGGTTATAACGGAAAGACAGTGGGACGGATGTTGAAAATGTAACAAGGCTGTTTGAAGTGATAGGCCATGGTGACTGGGACCCGCAGAAAAGGAAATATGATGACTGTAGGGTAGAGATAAAGAAGAATCAAAGGACTTCTGTTCTTAACCAGGCTAAGTAGATTAAAGGAATCCAAGTTGTGATTCGGCTATGTGAGTGTTTGATGCATTTGCAAAGCATCTTCCTTTCATTAAGAAAATAATGGACCATCACGAAGCACTACAAAGAATGACACAAATTCCTTTATAATTTTGCATTTGAGAAGGACAGAAATGACATGCATTGCTCATATTTTGTATGCTACAATAAGAAACCTATTTTAGATTATATACACAGGGAAAGGGCTTGGCCTACAATACGGCAAGCCTGTTGCATTCAGCACGATACTTTATAATAGACCTTTGTGGTAAGATACCTAGCTGACTGAGGTTTTAATTCAGAACTCCATTAACCAAAATATTCTCAAGTAAAAAAAGATGTTTTTGAAATAATTGTTCTAGGGTAGACTTAAATGTCTTACAAATTTTTAGATGCTTAGATATCATTTTCAGTGTCTTCTTTATGAATAGTTCTTCTTAAATCTTCAAATTGTGAATAACTGCGTAATTTTGAGTGTGACAGTACATAAAGAACCTTTAATGATCTGTCTCTTTTCTACTGCAGTTCCTCAGCCCTCTATCACGTAAGAGTTCTAAGGGTTCATGCAAGTAATAGAATCCATTTTAAAAGCATTTATTCCTCTAATGTCTTGAGGTTTGAGTTCGAGTTCTACTCTACACTTCCGTACGTGTTCAGCTTCATAGGTTGTTCAAACAACATAGGTTGTTGTGGCTCTTCAGTAAATTTGAGTTCTTTAAAAGAATATCCAGTTTATAACATGGTCTTGTGCCTCGATTTATTTTTTATTTTAACTTGTTCTTTCATTTCTGTGTTTGTACACAAATACTTTACTGTGTCCTAGTGAGGATGAGGCGCGTCCTGATTTTTCTTAGCTACCATAATTACTCACTAGTTAAATGATGATAGCTGCACTGGAGAACTTCCATAGTGTCGGTCAAGTTACGGGCTAAGGGTGCATGTACTGAATCTTAAGTGATATAAAATCTGTAACATAATACATCTGGATGAATTTGAAAGTGTTTTACTGGTGGGAGAATTCACCACTGTTTACGCAAGCGTAGACTCCTGGGTGGGACGTGTTCGGAGGCAGAAGTCAGGACTACAAGGCAGCTCTGCCTCTGTCCCTCTGTGCTGTTTGTACAGCCTTTGAGCTGCTGCTGAGGGATGAGGCATGGATAGCATCTGTCTCCCTTTTTCCTCTCTCAGAGTAAATGAAGTCTTTGCTAAGCCTTTAAGCCCTAATAGGTCTACATCCTTCTTTGAGGAAAAAAAAAATCGTTCCAACATCATCATTATATTATGTGTATGATTCTTTTCTTTGACATAATTTGTCGTGTTGATTTTATACCTTGGTGCATTTGTGTCTTCTTTATAACGCCTTACTCAAAATTTGAAAAGTAGAAATGCCGCGTACCTTTTGCTCGGGCAGTTGCTGAGAATGAGTGGATTACAAGCACCTTCTGCATGATACTGAGGCTGGAAGAGGCAGGGAGACCATCTTCTTCTGGCTTGACTGTGTGATTTTTGTTACCAAGGCTCTGAGCAAGCTTTCCATCCCTCTACCACCACCATGTACATACCAATATGACCCCCACGTAACCGCAAGGCAGAGTTGTGATGTCAGAACAGTGAAACCTCCTAAGGCCTTGGTACAGAAACACTGACACTGCCCCTCCACGTGCCTTGCACAGTGAGTTACCACAAAACCAGTTACATTTGTTCTGTTGAGAAGATGGTGAGTTATCCAGCATCCGCATTAGTGAAACGACAAGATCATACTTTGAGTAAGAGAAATAAAGAGCAGTCTAATTATAATCATAGCCTAGTATCTCACTGTGTAAAAGGTAATACAGTGTCATGTGTCTTATGTGAAAAAGACATTTTTACTTTCTAAAAGTCTGTGTGTTTCATAAAATGCCATTTGCCCTGTGCTCGTTTGCCTCACCGTGGATTCCTCTTCTGCTCAGACCCAGCAAGATGACTGACAAGGGCTATCAGGCCTGTCTTGTTAAGGTGGCCTTGTTTGGAGGAATAGCTTGCTGACTCACTCAAGCCTTTGCCTTTGTTCACTTGCAGAATTCAAAATGTGGAACAGAATGAAAAGAATAATTCGATCTTATTTTCTCTCTTTACAGGCTCTATACAACTCAATCAAAAATGAGAAGCTTGAATGGGCAGTGTAAGTATGCTGGGTGCCCGCCCTTTAATAATGGACTGACTTTATTCTTGCTTTCTTTATCCTTGGAGGTGATCTTAGGAAAGGATTAAATATACATGGCCACTTCTCATTTTACACCCAGTGTCTTACCTACTTAGCTAAGACCTAACTAAATCCTGAAGATCTTTTGTTATTTTCCTTGATAAAAGGAACAAAAAATAATCTAGTTGCTGTGTCCTTAGGCAATTCTCTTTTTAATGTATCCTTTGATACATTTTCTAAAAGAAAATCTGCTAATAAAATTACATATATTCTAAAATCCAATATAAATTATTATGGTACCCTCCGCTTATTTTAATACCCTCATTCATTACAGATCAAGGTTTTTCAATCTTATTTCTTATGATACTAATTAAACTAGGACATTGATTTTTTTTTTTTTTTTTTTTTTTTTTTGCTTTAGGGCGCGCGGCCTCCACCGACAGGGCGA